TGACATCTATAGGTTTCTCCACACGCTTCCCAAGGACCATCTTTTTTTTTCCCAAGGATGCCCAAGGACAAATATGAGCAGAAATTCTTCTCTCACACACTTTGTTGCTTTTACAGTGTCCAGTTGCTGCATTTTGATGTCCCTCTGCTTCATCTAGCTGTTCAGAGCAGCAGTGCTGCTCCCAGCTTTGCCGCTCTGGCTCTGCCTCTCCATTCAAAACTATAAATCAGTCTCTCGATGCAATTTGTCTTGTACAACATGTGCAAGACTCGAGCATTCTTTCTGTCCAGGTAGGACAAAAAGCACTTACCCATACTGCTCTTTGTGTTTGGGGTTTTTTTTCAATGTGAGAGTTTTTGCATTGTATTGTGTCATAGGAGGAAGGACAGGTTTGGGGCTCGTAGAGGTTTTTGGGGTTTCTCTGGTTCAGTTATGTTTTGGGGGTCTCTGGTTTAGCAGCAGGAGTGCTGCTGCCCCTTGCTTCGAGGCTGGATGGCTGCACCCATGAAAGCAACAGCAAAAGGCAAGCTCCTGGTGGAGCTCGTGGAGTCGTCACCTCGTGGGTGCTCTCGGGGTTGCTGTGAGTAGAGCTCAGTATTTTGTGCACGTCATTTTTATTAATTGTTGCTCAGAACCAGCTTTTACGCTCCCATGTCCCCTGCCCTCTCCCCAGCGTTGCCACTTCATGAGCTGGCCTCGGCAGCGCCCCGGTGAGCGGGCCGGGGCGGACGCCGTGTGTCACCCTCAGAAACCTCACGTACGTTTAACAAAAAGCAGCCCGGGCTGCTGTTGCTTCTGGGTTTGAGTGGCAAGACAGACTGACGCTACCATCAGGATGAGCTTCTGAGGGATTTAGTGGTTTTTTTTCTTTCCTTTTTTCCTATTGCAGTTTGCAATATCTCTTTAAAAATTCCCGTGTTGATTTAGGTTTCTTCGGTGCAATCGCCAACTGTATTTTCCCCGACTCTGTGGGAGGGCAGAGCTGTAGGTGGCTGTGCAGACCATCACTTCTATTTTCTTAACTTCGTTTCACGTACAGCTCTGAACCACAGCGTGGCATTTCAGCAGGGGGTTTGGTGCTAAATATCGCTTTGTTGGGAAAGGTCAGTCACAAGGATGTGCTGGCACCGAGGTAGGGACAGGCTGTGCCAGCATGTCGATGCACTCGTATTCAAACTCCAGGTTATCCCTTCTTCTGGAAAAAAATGTAATTGTTTTGGTTTAAAGTGGCAGGTGAGTAGTCTATTCCTATTTTGAGTGTTTATCAGCATTCCAGGGATGTTTGGGGGTTTGCCTGCCTGTGGCTGCTGGGGCTCA